CAACGAAAAACATGCAAAAAAAAAAAAAAAAAAAAGTTGGAAGAGTCATTGCTCCGGTCGACCGTGGCTTGTGTCCCAGACCTTGTAGCTTAAAAATCATGCCTGCCATTTGTGCGTGCCCCAAATCTCACAGCGAGAATGGAGGGGCAACAACCGCAGCCTGGCCATCCCCCCTTGGGGATGATTTCTCACTTTCTCTCTCACTGCCTCTTGGTTAGTGCACGTGCCTCATGGCTAAAACCTTAAAAAGAAAAAAGTCGTTGCATCTCCTAGCATCTTCTCAGACTCAGTCACCCCTTCCACGTATGAAAACCAGTAGTTTTTTTTTTTTAAATTAAAGCTCTTATTCTTATCTGTTATTCTAATTTTTAAATCAAAGCTCTAATTTATCATTTAAATATTTTGGTGGTAGAAATAATACAAAGTAACCCTTACAACCTTCACTTTGGAAAGTTCCCTGTAAGGAAGCAATGCTTAGAATATATTGTATGAATATTATTTGCCTAAAGAGTTAATGGGTAGAAACAAAGCCTTTAAAACTTTTAAAAAATGACTTTGACATACAAACAGTCATCAGGCATGGAATAAAGTGGTTTTGTTTTTGTTTAGTTTTGCCCTCTTTTTTTTTTTTTTAAATACTCCCAGGCCCTAAAGTGTCTATTGCTTTTTGGTCCAGAGAATTGCCCTCTGGAATTGCTGCTATTTCATTCATGTCTGTACAACCTACAGTTCAATTTTGACTGATTCATTCCGACCTCTGTCCTATGAGTTTTCATTTCTCTATTTGCTCGCTCAATGAAATGAGTAACTTCCATGACAAACCACTGGTGTTTAATACAAGCCACGTACCGCCAAGCTGTTCATTTAGGGAAAACTGAGTGTTGAGACTCCCGACTGTCAGACTAGAACAGTAACTCCAGTATCACATAACAAACACCTGATCATTGCCTAATTCATACGAAAAAGCTACCGTGGATGAAAGTTCTTCCCACAGTTTTGGAGGAAGCTGTTTCTATGTATTCAGTGTTTAGGGACCGAAACATGACTGGAAAGTAGGTTGCTCTCGTAGAGAGCAATTGCGACTGAAGTCTTGACAGTAACGGGACTGTTTTCTGCTAGTACTAATCTTATCGTATCCATGCTTTTTGTAAACACTGGTAATCTCTGTTTTGCAGGTGAAAGAAACCCAGCAGAATTCAGTTATCAAAGCAAAGCACAGCACTGCATTTTGAAATAATTCCAGCAATACTGTGCTTCCTGCCAAGAACTTTTTCGATTACTCACACAAACACCAAAGACCAGATTGACGGTTTAGAAAATTATAGAAAGACAGAAATGTCTAGTTTCCACAGTGTTCAGAGAGCACCTGAATGACGTTTCCAGTGTATGATCCAAAGCAACTGGTGGCAGTGTACTTAGGGGAAAAAACAGGCTTTTGATATAAGACAGAAGCCTAAACTTTACCTTGTACTTCTACAGTGTCTCCAGTTGAATTAATGAAATAGCTTTACAACAAGATGGCATAAAGAATTAGAAATGCTTCAAACAGAATTTGAAGACTGAGACGAGAGAAGCAGCAGCAAGAGGAATTGTAGATGCAAGAGAAAGGCTTCCTCACGCCATATTATAAACACAGTGAGTGCAAGGGTACTTCAAAAAGTTCATGAAAACAATTGAATATGAGTTTATTCAGGTGCAAAACACTTTGAAATCCATGCATGGTTTTTTCAGAATGTGCATTTTCCATGAGCTTTAAAAAAATTACTATGGAGTGTGTGTGCTAGGAGTTAAAGACACACACACACACACACACACACACACAGAGAGAGAGAGAGAGAGAGGGAAAGTGAGAAAGCACCTCTGAAGGGATGGCCAATCCACAATCCCTTGCCCTTTCCCCTCTCAGGATTTACCTGCCCAGTGTGTTTTTCATGCTACTGGGTTTGGGACTCAAATTGCACTGTCAGCCCTGTGGGATCTAGCTGGTTCTTCCATGAACTTTTTGAAGACTAAACTTTCTGAAGACTCAGAGTGTATGTATCCTAGACTGTGTCTGAATAGGCCCATGCTTTCTTGATTTTTTTTGTGGGGAGAGGGAAGAGAAGTTTTTGGTATAGGATGCGTGCGCTCGCCAGAAAGACACAGAGAGACAGAAAGTGAGAAATCACCCCCTAGGGAGGACAGCCACGCCGCAATCCCTTCTCCTCTCAGGATCTTGGGCACGCACACACACACGCCTGGCTTGAGTTTAAGCCACTGGGTCCGGGACTCAAACCACAGTCAACTACATGGGAGTTCAGCGACATAGCCACTACGGCAACTGCTGGTCCTGACCCATGCTTTCAGTGAAAAGGGATATTGTGACTTTGTCCCCTAGGACCTCTCCCCCAAGACACTGGGGCAGTGAGTGGAGGACGAACGAGATGGCGCTGTAGAAAGTTGAACAATTTAGAAGAGAGAACAGATGTTTTGCCATGACAGGAAGAGCTCAGAAAGTGAGGTAATCCGACCTTAAAATGTGGACTGAGGGACTTGAAGTGAAGAGGCAGGACAAAGGGTGAAGATGTATCTGCTGTCAGGCGAGCCATTAGCACAGGGAGGCGCATCCCTCCGCAGAGACGGTCAAGAGTTGAATGACGGTCACGTTGTGCAAAACTTTAGGGTGAGCTTGCTTGTCTGGGAGGCAGAGGGAGAACTCCGAGCACTCATTTAGGAAACCTGCAAGTGAGTTTCAGCAGAAGAAAGTGGCTGCAAGAAGGGGAGGGCTGAGAGCGTCAAGCATCTGTGGCCCAAGTTCAATTTCGATATTGGTCTTCAGGTACCCGGTGGCGAGCAGCCCCTGTGAGGACAGCACGGTGTCAGGACTGTGACAGGTACGAGGCCTGAGGCTTCTAGTGCAGGTCTTAGGAGAAAGACAGGAAGACATACAGTTAAGAAGCAGACTTTTTCTTTTAGTTATTGCTGTAGGGCATGTGTGCTTGCTGGAGAGGAAGAGAGACAGAAGGAGAGAGAGAGAAAAAGAGAGAGAGAGAGTAAGAAATCACCTCCTGAGTGGAGGATGGCCGCACCACCGTCCCTTTCTACTCTCTTCTTGGGGTTTTGGGCAGGCACACACATGCTCCCAGCGTGACATTCAAGCCATGGGGTCCAGGACTCAAACCACACTGTCAGCCATGTGGGATCTAGTCGCTTTAACTTCCATGCCACCTGCTGGCCCCAAGAAGCAGAGTTGTTAGGTTCTTCTAACAGCTGGTTTGTCACCTTTTCTGGAACTTTCTCACCCTTTAGGAAGTGAAATAAACTATTTCTCTATATAGGAGTGCAACTGTGGGGGGAAAAAAGTGTAGCCACGTAGCTATTCCCCAAAAGGAGCGAAGAAGATTACTGAGTACATTTTAGATATCAAAGAATTAATAATGTTGAGAGGAGGCTGACAGGGAATGGGCCGATAAAGGATTTGAGCATCATCTGGTATTTGCACCCTTTTCCTCAAACTTGAATCAGCTAGCATACATAGACATGCAGACACACACACACACACACACACACACACATACAGAGGAATGTTCCTACTTAGGATAAACGCTTTCATCAGCAGACCCACAAGCTCTGCACAGGTAGGCTCTATATGGCTCATTTTTTTTCCCTACTTGAACAGCCACACTGATGGCCTCCTAAGTATTTCTGGGAATCCATAGATTACCAAAAAAAGAGAGCCCATACTATATGTTTATGAACAGAGGGAGGATTTGTTAAGAAAATACAGAATAATGCTCTTAATTTTATAACTGTAAAAAACATTGACCAAAAAATTCTTTCCAAAAATGGCTTGAAAATAATTAGAAGCCTTATCACTTGTTTGTCTCCCTTCTCTCTTGCCGAGGACTATGTGCTCATCCATGTTGAGGTGGTGATTTATGTATTTTGCAGTAACAAGCATTTGCGGCCTTTACTTTTCTTTGATGAGGTTAATCTTCCAGAACTACGAAACAACTAACCTTTTCATTAAATTGAACACTCAGTTCAGTAAATTTTTTATAACTCCAGTAGCAAAATAAAAATCACCAAAAGGGAATGAGTCAAAAAGAAGGGTGAAATGTATGAGAGAAATGCAGTTTTGTTTTGTTTTGTTTTATTGTTGTTGTTGCTATAGGGCGCATGTGCTTGCCAGAAAGACAGAGAGAGACAGAGAGATAGAAAGCAAGAAATCATCCCCCCCCCAGGGGGGATGGCCACACCGCAATTCCTTCTCCTCCATTCCCCTCTCGGGATCTTAGGCACGCACGCACACATGCCCGGCGTGAGTTTAAGCCGCTGGGTACGGGACTCAAACTGCAGTCGACTACATGGGAATCCAGCGACATAGCCATTATGCCAACTGCTGGTGCCTTAGGAATGCAGTTTTTAAAAATGTGCGTAGGGCGGGCAAGCGCATGAGGGTTCAGGCACGTTCTCCCCCGTGGCCGATCACAGCCTGTGTCCTGGTGGCTTGCTTTCTCACTTTCTCTCTCTGTCTTTCTCTGGTGACTGCACATAACCTTAAAATAATAATAATGATAAATAAAATAAAATAAATAATTCTCTCTCTCTCTTTTTTATTTTTTTAGAGAGAGAGATGCTTTGCTATATGACACATGTTCTTGCCAGAAGCACAGAGAGAGACAGAGAGACAAAAAGTGAGAAATCACCACCTCCCAGGGGGTGGCCACGCCACAATCCCTTCTCCTCCATTCTCCTCTCAGGATCTTCTGCATGTACACACACGTGCCCGGGATGAGATTTAAGTCGCCTGGGTCCAGGACTCAAACCATGGTCGATTATGTGGGAGTCCAGCCATGTAACCATTATGGCCTCTGCTGGTCCCAATAATAATTCTTTAAAAATAGAAAAGTGTGTGCATAGGTCAAAGCATTCAGAACGGTGTCAGTGATGTTTTATGGGATTAGCTTCTCACAGCTGTACCATGACATCTTGTAGCTATCATCAGACACATCAAAGACTGTGCCCAGTGTAATTTTCAAGCCACCAGGTCCAGGACTCAAACCATGGTTGGCCATGTGGGAATCCAGCTCCTTCACCACTATGCCACCTGTTGACCCCTGTAAATATATTAAAAAACAAACAAACAAAAACAAAAAACTTCCATGATAAATTTCAAACATACATGAAAGTAGAGAGACTGTAATGTAGTGAACTTCATGTACTCAAAACCCAGCTTCAGTAAGTATCAACTCCTGGCCAAACTCGTTTCACACATACTCCAATGACTGCCCTGCACCCTCTGCTCTTGATGGTGTTTTGGAGACAAATTCATGCCATGGTATTGCTGGGAGAGCCATTGTTCCTTGGGCTGCTTTTTGTTTCTGTGCTTCTTGCTGTGTGGGCCCAAACTGCAAGGCTACAATTCTTCTTTTTCCAGGGCATTCTCAGGGCTGCTTATGCAGCTGGCAACCTTAAGAAATGAGGTCCATCTCTTTCCCCATCCTCCACATGCACCGCCACTCCAAGCCAAAGAGCAGGCTTGCTTACTCTTTGTTATAAAGTCTTTCATCTCAGACCCAAAAGTCTTCTGTTCTGCTAATCTCCATAAAATAATAACAGACTGAATCTTAGGTTGTGGGGAAGATCAAATCAAACTGCAGAAACAACATGCGTCATTTTATTTGCATGTATTTCAGTATATAGTTCTAAGAAATAAGAAACCTCTTTCTGTTTATTGGAAAGAGATTTTTGCTATAGGGCACATGCACTTGCCGGAGAGACAAAGAGAGACAGAAAGAAAGAGAGAAATGACTCCTACCAGGGAGATGGCCACGCCACAATCCCTTCTACTTCATTCTCCTCTCAGGATCTTGGGCACGCACGCACACACACCTGGCATGAGTTTTAAGCCACCTTTAAGCCGCTGGGTCTGGGACTTAAACTGCGGTCAACTGCATGGGAGTCTAGCAACGTAACCATTACAGCATCTGCTGGTCTCAGGAAATCTCCCCCCCTTTTTTTTTTTGAAGAGGTTTTTGCTATCGGGCGCATGTGCTCACCAGTAAGACAGAGATAGAGAGACAGAAAGCGAGAAATCACCCCCCAGGAGGGGATGGCCAAGCTGCAATCCCTTCTCCTCCATTCTCCTCTCCGGATCTTGGCCATGCACATGTGCCCAGCGTGAGTTTAAGCCACCAGGTCCAGGACTCGAATTGTGGTTGACTACATGGGAGTCCAGCAACATAGCCATTACTCCACTGCTGGTCCCATGAAATCTCTTTTTTAAAAGCCACAATACAATGATCACATCTTAAAAGAATGACAAAACTTATTGCCCAGAACTCTTCAATCTGGGGAAAAAAAACTATCTTGTTATGGACGAGCAACTTCAGTCTCCTTTCCTTGCAGTGCAGAGTACTGACGGCCGCAGAGAGCCTCCTCTGCACGAGTTCTGGATCTTTTCTCATGCATGGTCTAGCAGCATGCACATCAGAACACTGTCCTTAGGGCAATATGGAGACATATCTGTCCAACTCCATCGGTCACCAACTCAGTTGACTCACTGAGCAGAAAGATGAAATTCAGTAAGTATTGAACCATTTGGTCCCTTTGTCCCTTTATCCCTAATAAAAAATATTAAGCAGGGCCAGCAGGTGGCATGGTGATTAAGGGGCTGAACTCCCACATGGTCAACCACAGTTCAAATCCTGGACCTGGTGGCTTGCTTTCTCACTTTTCCTCTCTGGCTCTCGGTCATTCTCTGGAAAGTGCATGTGCCCTGTAGCAAACGAAAATAGTAATAATAATAATAAAAAATAAATATTTAAAAATATTCAGCTTTTCTCTTTATCCCTCACTCACCATAGCATCTCTTCACTCACACGTGGCATTTTGTGTGACTTCTGTGTCTTGGAAATTACACAGGTGGAAGGTTGGGTGACAAAACTGGTCTTTAGTGCCCTGGGGATCAGATGAATGAAAAGATGGGAAGACAGAGTGAGATGTTCTTCCAGCTGTTTTTAGTAAAAACTCTGACACTCATTATTCATCAGTTTATTGTCATTTTAAATATCTCATTTTAAATATACAAAATTAATGAAATTTTGAAATTTGGGGGATTATTTTATTTGTACACTCTCTTTGTCCCTCTCTTAGCAAATGGACCAAGAGAGTGAATCAGCAATTCGCAAGTCCATGTGACGATGCGGTGTAGAGAGAAGTCAGGAAAGCTCCGCTGTCTTCATAGTAAAAAGGAAAGAAAGAAAAAGCTTAGGTAAATTAGCATAGCAGTGGAAAAACGACTTCACAAACCCATCTTCCAAATCAGAAAACATGAATGCTGGTAGCATGCTCTTTGTGTTTTCTAAATGCAATTTATTTTCATTCGTCGCTGCTGTGAAAGAGACATTGTGCCCTAACACCTAGCGACTGAAGCAGTGCATTTGTTATGTCAGTTTCTAAGGGTCAGGAATCCAGGCGTGGCGTAGCTGGGAGCCCCTGGCTCAGGGTCTCGCAGGAGCTGCCATCACGCTGTGGGCCCCAGTGGAGCCGCAGCATCTTTAGGTTCCCCCCAGGCTGCTGGCAGGCCTCCGAAGAGCCTGTTCCAAGCTGGGTCACGTGGGGCTCTCCACCACCAGGCTGCCTGGAGATGTGGAATCTAGCCTCCCCAAGAGCAAGCGGTCCCGAAACTGAGCACTCTGGGAGAGAAGCCACAGACGTGACATCCTAGCACGGATTCTGTACTCTGTTCATGAGAAAAGACTCAGTGAGTCCTGCCCACCCTGGATGGGAGGGTGTTGCACAAGGACAGGAAGAACAGGCAGTAGGGATCGATCCCTGGGCACCCTCTTAGAGGCTGCCAACTATGGTTTGTTCATTTGAAATGTAAATTTTAAATACAAAAAATACTGAGCCCAGCAGGTGGCATAGTGGTTATGATATTGGACTCCGACATGGCCAACCGCAGTTCGAATCCTGGATCCAGCAGCTTGAAACTCGTGCTGGGCACTTATTCTTGCGTGTACCAAATCCTGAGAGAATAGATTGTGGTGTGGCCATCCTCCCGCCCCCCCCACCCAGGAGGATGATCTCTCGCTTTCTGTCTCTCTCTGGTGAGCACAGGTGCCCTATAGCAAAAATCTTTACAAAAAAAAAAATAAAAAATGTTTTCTTATGTTAACATTTTCAGACAAACAGAAAAGGGGTAGAGTAAGAAGTCTGCCACATACTCCTGTCAGCCAGTCCGCTCCTCGAGCAATCGCTGTTACTCTCCTGGGGATCCTCGCAGAGACATTCTGTCAAACGTGCAGTGGAAAGTGTGGTTCGATGGGGTGTGAGCAGAGGCGCGCTCACCTCCTTCCCTCATCGTCCAGTTCAGGCCTGCTTTGCTGAGATAACGCCTTTGCCCCTTGGAAGAAGTCTGAAGTGGGTGTGCATTTGCATGTCCCTCTCAGAGAAGGAGTCCTCCAGTCACTTTTAGTCATCACATAGTTTCATTCCAGAAATAAAAACACCTAGTCCTGAGCTGTGGTGGAGCTAGAAACTTGAAGGTTCAGCTTCTCCCCTTCCTTAAATCGGGCCTGCTTCAGGCCAGAAGGCCGCGATGCAGGAAGGTGGAGGCTTTGAGGTCAGCCTTGCTGTTTCTCTATTTTGTGCTTCTCCCCGTCTCTCTCTCTGTCTCTTTTTTGGCCCCTCTGGCCTGCTAGGTTGTCTCATCTCTCAGGGTTAGGGATGGGAAATGGATGAAGAGAGTTTAAGAAGCACTTTTTATTGGGTGCCAGCTCTTTCGGCAGAAGAGATTTCTCCAAGGACATGTACAGGGGCTTCTCTTGATGTCTGCAAATTCTGCTCTTCCTCAGGTTTGCCTCCAATGCTAGCCTCCAGCCACTTGGTGCTCAGATCTTTTGGTGCTGGCAGAAAGGCTCTCTGGCAAAGCCTCCTCCAAGACGGCCAGAAGGCCTGACCTCCTCTCCCCTGTCTCCTTTTTGGTTCTGGGAAATGCTCATGCATCCCTCATGATAGCCTAGACTCTTTGGAAAACTGGTTAGGTTGTTTCTTGCTCCTCGAGGGTTTTTAATTTCTCATATCTTGCTCTGTTTCTTTAGCAATTATTATATCCTGGGAATGAGGAATGCTCAGTGTATCACTCCAGGAATTAAAATCCAAAAGGGATGTTTCTGCTGACTGATCGAATGCTTGTCTTGTCTGGGCTGAAAGTGAAAGAGTCTTCTTGTAAAACATGCTTCCCATATGCTGAGATACCTTTGAATACAAACGATAATGATAGTCATTAAGTCTGTGAAATCTCTCAATAACCCAGCACTACACGCAGGTGGCGGGGAGACCGAGGCAGTTCCAGGCATGGAGCGTCACTAGGTTGTTGGGAAAGTCGTGATGTATTTTTTTATGCAGAAACGCATCAAGACTTCCTCGACGAACCAGTGTGTAGTTGTGGGGGTCGCAGTTCTAGGATGTGGTGAGCCTTTCTCTCAGAATCATACAGCCTTTGCAGAAGTGAAACTGAATATCAAGGGGCCAGCAGGAGGCATGGTGGTTGAGGTGCTGGGCTCTCACATGGCCAACTGTAGTTCGAGTCCTGGACCTAGCAGCTTGAGAACCATGCTGGGCACATGCGTGTGTGTGCATGCTCAAAATCCCAGGTGGAGAGCTGAGGAGAAGGCATGCAGCATGGCCAGCCCCCTGGGGGCGTTAGTTCTCTTTTCCTCTCATTGTTTCTCTCTCTCTCTTTTTGGCGAACACATATGCCTTATGGCAAAAATAACACCAAACCCACCTGGGTATCAAGAGGGCTCTAACTTCCCACTTCCCCTTCCCGGGTCTGCTGTGGCTCGCCTGAATTGTAGTGATGCCATTCAAGTTCACCACACCTCTCCCTCACCACTGTCCCCCAGGATGGCCCAGCTCTGACGGAATTCTTCAGGCAGCTCAGCTCACAGTTGGCCATCGGTGAGACACACACGCGGCCGCCCTGGGGCTTGTGCCCCAGCACTAAGCACTGGCTTCCTGCCCCGGGACTCGGTCGCTCCTGCTAAGGGCCTGACCCAGGATGGGACACAGGCCACATTGTCACATCTCACACCCCAACCTGCCTCTGTTCTGATGCTGTCTACGTTTCCCACTCCAAGTGACTTCTCCCGTCCCTGTCCTCGTGTGCCCCGTTCAGATCCACCGTGTGAGATCTATCAGGAGGGTTCTTCCCTTCTCTCTGACTGCTCACCCCAAGGGATTTCTGCACTCAGTCTCCGTTTCGGAAGCTGAGATCTTGTTACCCATTTATGACGGTAGTCTGTTTGCTCTCTGGGGCTTCCAGAGGTTACTCGGAGCTTTCTAATTCTCCTTTCATTGGGGCCCTGGGAATTCCCAGTCCCAAGGACTCCACAACTGTCTAGTTTGACTGACGTCCGCCATCGCTGGGCCCTCCTCCCAGCTTCTGTGGGAGCCTGTCCTGTCGTGCCGGCAGATGGCACCTGGACTACCGACGACACAGTGGGCCTTCATGGAGGCACGTGTATGTACGTGACGAGAGCGCCACGTACGAGTCAAAAATCAGAGCCGGAGCTTCGACTGGAGAAAAGAAGTCATGACGAGTCATCGTAAATATGCCAAGGGATGTCCTATCCTCACTAAAGGAAAGTAGATCATTTAACAGTGAATACCCTTGGGGCCAGCAGATAGTGTAATGGTTACATCGCTAAACTCCTACATTGTCAACTGTGGTTCAAGTCCCGGACCCGGCGGCTTAAAACTCACACTGGGCGTGTGTGTGTGTGTGTGTGTGTGTGTGTGTGTGTGTGCCCAAAATCCCAAGAAAAGAATGGAGAAGGGATTGTGGCATGCCTTCCCCTTTAAGGGGTGATTTCTGGCTTCTGTCTCTCTGTCTCTGTCTCTCTGACAAGTACACGCTCCTGATAGCAAAAATCTCTCTAAAAGAACAAAAAGAAAAACCCTATGGTACGAATGTAAATGTCTTAGTTTGGACAAATATAGCATGTTACATGAATCGTTACCATTAGGAAAAACTGAGTGAACTCTGCACTATCTTTCCAACCTCCCTGTATTGAAAATTATTCCAAAATAAAAAGTTTAAGAAAAAGAATACCAGTGGAAAACTTAAAATATTTACATTAGAAATAAAGAATTTCTTTACCCTAAAAATATTAGACAAATAAAAGTGACTTTTGAAGGACACGCGGAAATCTCGGCCCTGGCACGAATGTTTATTGTCAACAGATGTGGTCCTGTATAAATACCGGGGCAGATTAATTGCTGCTTTTTGGTTTCACTTTCAGGAAGCTTATTCTTCCAGCAAATAATTATTGACCCATTATGAGTCTTGCGTGTTCTAAAGACACAGCAGCCCACAAAACAGGTCAGAGTCCTTCTGACACGGTGCTGACGTCTTAAAGGGACAGGAGCAACCCTCTATGAGATCAATTAGCAGGTCAGTTCCACGGTGTGGAGGGAGGTGATGTGGTGGTGGGGGGAAGAACACAGGGGGAGGCTATCGGGTATGTGTGTCGTGGGGGCTGGCACTGGCCAGTTTAGATGGGATGATCAGGGGCCAGTGAGTGGTGTGGTGGTTGAGGTGGTGCTGGACTTCCACATGGCTGACCATGGTTCAAGTCCCGGACCTGGAAGCTTGAAGTCACACCAGTGTTTGTGCATGCATGCCCCAAATCCCAGGAGGATAATGGAGGGGATGGGATTGTGGCATGGCCAGCCCCTCAGGAGAGTGTCTCTGTCTCTTTCTGGCAAGCACACATGTCCTTTGGCAAAACCTAAAATAAATTAACAAATACATGGGGTGATTAGAGCAGGCGCTGTTGGGGTGGTGTAGTTGAGTAAAGATCTAGGAGGTGAGGCAGCAAAACTTGAGGGCATGAGGGGAAGAGCCTCTGAGGCAGGGAAGAGCCGGTAGAAAGGAAGGCCCGAGATGCAGCTACCTGGAGTGTCAAGAACCAGCGAGGGCAGGGCAGACGGAGCAGTTACTGACAGGAAAACATGTGGAAGTGGGATCGGGAAAGGAAGGGCACGGGTGGGTGGGGAGGGTGCAAACGATAGAGGACTTCGTCTTTCTCTCTGGAGGAAATAGGAAGCTGACTAACGAATGGGGGGTTTTGAGCAGAAGAGCAACATGGTCTGTGTGAGGCATTTAAAAGACCAACCTTTTACCGTTTTGTGGACAGACACCAGGTGGGCAAGGGCAGAAGCAGGGAAAGCAGGTCTAAGGGGAACACAGTAATCCACGAGCCATGACGGAGCCTTAGACAGGACTGGCTGCGTGCTGGGCGGCTCGTTCCAGCCAGCAAGGACCATGACATGTCTGAAAGTTTGCCAGCCGGTTTTTAAACACAGCATTATTAAACATTGAGTTAGATCATGTCATTCAGTTACACTGAAAATGCAAGTCATACTCAAAACTCTCTTCTTAATTGGCGTCATCTAATTATTTGACTGTTATTGCTTATTTTTACCTCTGCCCTTGAAGTTATTTACACCCATTGGATCTGAGACACATCCACTGTATCTGGTGAAAATATTCTGTGCTATTGTGTATCTCTTCCCGATTCTGTATTCAGTGACACTGGGAATTTGTCAGAGATCGTGGGAGGAATTTACACCACAGAAATTGGCACGTGCTACAAATCAGAGTTCATTTTGTTTGGAAAGAAACCTAGTTGTTGCACGTTAACCAAACACCACAGCCTTTCCAACTATGCCTAGAAATGTGTACCCCCACCCCATGCAAGTTTTTCAGTTCCCTCACTTCTACCGTGATCCCAACCACAGAGGGGAAAAGTTTAACAAGGAAGTTAAACTTCGTATCACAGTAGAGAATGTCAGTGATAGGGTCAGCAGATGGCCTGGAGGTTAAGGCAGCTGGACACCACATGGCCAAGTCTCCGGTTAGAGTTCTAGATCCGGCGGCTTGAAAAATCACACCAGGCATGTGTGTGCCTGCCCGGAATCCCGAGAGGCAAATGGAGATGGGATTGCAGGGTGGCCATCCCTCCAAAAGGTGATTTCTCACCCCCCCCAACTCTCTCTCTCTTCTCTTTCTGTCTCTCTCTAGCAAGCACACATGCCCTATTAAAAGAAAATGTCAGTAACTAATTAAAACATATTTGAAATAAAAAAAGAATGTCAGCGACAATTTAATACATGATTCAAAAAAACCCAGTACAACATATTTGGAATGTGCACAACAGAACATAATGATACATGTTGGAGATGGTGCACATGTGTGTGTCCTTGACTCGATTATTACATGCTGTATACATGCTTTGAAAAAAACATACTACATCCTACAAAGATGTACGATTATATGTAAATCACACATTGCGATAATTGTTATTTTAAAAGATGTTAGGTAAGGATCACTTGTATCCCAGCAGGATAAAAGTAATGTAGTTCACTTATTCATGCTATTAGCACATGTTGGGGTTAGCAGGTAAAACCACCGTACCTGTGATTGGATTTTTAGTGCCGGCCCTAACTTTAATCCCATGGTGCCTCGAAGATGCTCTTCCGTGAGTAACGGCAAAGTTTCTCCATCAATCGCATGATCTTTGAATACCTATTAAACAAAAAACGTTTTCAGTTTGCCCAATTTTGTTTTCCAAGTTGTTTTATATATAGATCATTTCATTTTGGAGGAAACAATCAGACTGCTTGAGAATGACACAAAAACTTACAAAACCCCTTATTTTTAGTTCTCTTTTCCATGCTCCTGTAGCACGTTTGTACACTTTAATAACCCATGGTGTAGACTGTAATTTTCTCTCTTTTTTTAAAGAGATGATTTTTATTTAACTTTTTATTTATTTATTTTAATTTGACCTGGGAGAGATAGAGAGAGAGAAAGCGAGAAAGCAAGCCACCAGATCCAGGACTCAAACCACAGTTTGTGTCCTTAACCACTATGCCACGTGCCAGTCCCTGTAATTCTCTCTTTGTAGAACTCAATTCCAACCTGGAATAGTTATAATTATTACTGTTATTTGTTGTATTAAGAGAAAGGGTCCCGTTGTGTTGCCCAGGCTGGTCTCAAGCTTGTGGTCCTCCTGCCTCGGCCTGGAAAGCTGCGGTTACAAGCATGCGCACTGCAACGGGCTTGGAGTGGCTCTTCTCTGCGGGTAGGGCCGGGGTCTTCTGTATCAGTGTGTCCCTAATGCAGCGACTGCTCTGTAGTAGAGGCTGTGCAGTAAACGTCGCTGAGCACGGAATGAACGGGCAGGTGCTCCGGGTGAAGGGCGTGGGTTAAACACTGCAGGCCTGACTGACATTCACAGAGCACAGCCTCCTGCCCAGTGCGTCAGGCGGGCGTATACGGAGGAGAGGACGGCGCACCAAGCGTGCTGGTCCCTGGGCCTTTCCAGAAGTGCCCGACTTTCTGCTCTGTCTGTGGCAGACGTGACCTGCCTTTCCTTCTTCCCAAGGCCAGGAAGGTTGTGTGGGAATAAGGTTTCCAGGCAGATAAAAAGACAGGCACAAAACCTGGACAGATTGGTGCAAGTGTTGTTTCTGATCTCCACCGTCAACCTGCCGGGCAATCCTATATTCACTCATGTCTCTCTCTCTTTCTTCAGATTTGCCGGAGGGTATGTGCACTTGCTAAAGGGAGACAGAGGAAGAAAGCACGCTCTAGTCGGACATGGCGATGGGCATGGGCAGAAGGAGCCGCATCCCTTCATCCTGTCTGGGGCACGCTCGCATGCCCACACGCCCTGTGTAGTTTCAGGCCCCCAGGGTTGGGATTTGAACCGCATGATTGGCCATGTGGAATCCAGCTCACTTAACCACCAGGCCACAGAGCTAACCCTACTCGTGGGCTTTCTTTCACTTCTTTTCACTTCTGTCTGAAGCTTCCTCCACCCTTCTTAAACTTCCTTCATTTTCTGCAAATGATGCAGCTTCCTAATTAAAACAACAACATAACAGAAAAAGAAAGAAAGGAAAAAATAAAGGAAGTCAGTGGAAAAGAGCTTTTACTTCTGACCAGTAAAACCCAGGAGCTTCCATTTTCTCCCTCTGACCTGATGTCACCCTGGGTCCTCACCCCTTCCACTTCAGGGCCACGCCCAACAGGTCATCTTCTCTTTTGCCTTCATCCTGTCCACTCCTTCCCACTAGGCTACAGCTCCAGTGCTAGTTGTTTTGAAATATCACAAATAGTGACATCATCAGTGGTGGCACAGCTGTAGTGCCACACTCATGATACTGAAGTCATATGGGAACATCCTGGGTTCACATCCCGAGGCCCTCCCATTCATGCCAGACACACACGTGCCCATGATTCTAACTGGCTGAGCTGGGTGGGAACTGGTGGCATAAAGACCCTGTTGGAGGGTCCTGACTCTCTTTCCTGGAAGGCATGAATAAACTTAAACAACACAAATCTCCGGCCAGTTGGTGGCAATGTGGTTAAGGTGGCTGGATTCCATGTGGCTGACCCCACAGTTTGAGTACTGAACCCAGTGGCTTGAGGAACACACTAGGCACGTGTGCATGTGTGTCTGAAATCCCAAGAATGGAATGGAAGAGGAGGGACGGTGATCAGAGATCCCCTCTGGGGTGGGGAGGGGATTTCTTACTTGCCCTCTATGCCTCTGTCTCTCTCTGGCAACCACATGTGCCCTGTAGCAAAATTAAAACAAACAATCCAAAAATCCAACCAAATGACAACAACAAAACAATGATATTAAGAAATCGTCAGGGCACTGGGAATCTTGACTGGAAATTTTATAGCGTAATATCCTCGATGTAGAGTAATTATCACTGGAAGAGAGAGCCTTGCACTGACACACATTTTTCAAGTATTTGCTCTTGTAGTTGACTCGATGCTTAGTTTTGCTCAGCTGTAACACAGATTGTATTTTTTTTTCACAGAATTATGGTATATATTATACTCAAATGATTACCAGGCCAAATAGTGGCATGGTGGTTAAAGCAGCTGGATCCCACATGGCCAACCATGCGGTTGAAATCCCAGAACTAGTGGCTTAAGAAACATGCCTGGAATGTGTATGTGAATGCCCAGAACCGAGAGGAAATGGAAGAAGAAAGGATTGTGGTGTTACCATCTCCCACGGCAGGTGCTTTCTCACCCCCACCACCCCATCTTGCTCTTATGAGCACATGCGCCCTCTAACAAAATTAAAAAAAAAAAAAAAAAAAAAAAAAGAGAGAAAAGGAAAAAGATAGCCTGGGAAGCTGGGCCGTGGTGAGTAACAACCCAAATTCCATGAGGCGGATACACGTGGAAGAGTCTGGGTTTGTGTCGGGGTGGATTGTGGCATGTAGACCCTGCTGAGGGTGCCTACCTCTCTCTCTGCCTGTTTCTCTCACTCATAGGAGAAACAAATATACCTAAAAATAAAGAAGGATCATCTAAACATATCTACCACAATGCCTGGCACATGGTTTGTGCCTTAGAATAGGCTGGTATTACTGAGTTTTCATAAATGAGAGAACCGGGACCAGCAGGTGGCGTAGTGGTTAAAGCTCTGGACTCCCACATAGCCGACCATGGTTTGAGTTCTGGACCTGGTGGCTTGAAAATCACACTAGGCACGTGTGTGTGCATGCCCTAAACTGCAGGAGGAGAACGGAGGAGAAGGGACTGTGTCGTGGCCACTCCCCTCCAGGGGGTGATTTCTCATTTTTGCTCTCACTGTCTCTCTCTGTCTCTCTCCTATGAGCACACACACCCTGTGACAAAAATCCAAAATGAATAAATAAATAGGAGAATCAATAAAGGTGAGGTGGAGCTGCCTAAAGCACACAGCCTGCCAGTTAGACCACTCGTGAGATGACACAGCTCGTGATTCTGGCCCGGATTGTCCCTGCTGTCCCACATGGCTGTAGGAAAGGAATGCTGAGGAAAACAGTTAATTATGTTTATGGTGGAAATCTCACCACGTTTCTTTCCTGTGTGGCAATTCTAGTGAGCCGTGGAGGGACCATGTGTGAACACCCAAAGAAGGAGAAGCCACATGGCTGAAGTTTCACAAAGAGGAAGACTGGCAGCCAGGGACTGGAGGGGGAGCGCCTAACTCTCAGCACCCGCAGACATGCACAGGGCCCGAGGCACAGACGCAGAACACCTCCTCATCGCCCACGTGTCCCTCCATTCTCACAGAGCAGTTTGGGCCCTGGGTACAAGGTAAATGTATACATTATTTTTAGCAGTTTTGGTCATCTTTAGAGAGAATTTTGTGTCTGCTGAGTTTGTTGGGCCAGACATTTACTTGGAACAAACAAAACACCTAGCGGGGTCTTCTCGATGTTCCTAACCAGCTGAGTCACCAACCTCCCTCCACACCTATTTAAGAGTTCATTTGTGGGGCTGGCAGGTGGCGTGGTGGTTAAAGGTACTGGACTCCCACCAGGTCGACCATGGTTCAAATCCTGGACCTGGTGACTTGTTTTCTCACTTTCCCTCTCTTTGCCTCTCACTCTGATCAAACTGGAAAATAATAATAATACATAAAGTTAAATAAAATAATTATTTTTGTTTGTTTGTTTGTTTTTGGAGAGGTTTTTCACTATAGGGCGCGTGCACTCGCCAAACAGAGAGAGACATAGAGATAGAAAGCGAGAAATCACCTCCCAGGGGGGATGGTCACGCCGCAATCCCTTCTCCTCCATTCTCCTATCGGGATCTT